GTCGTTTTTTGACGTTCCCTCAAGTACCTGCTGCTCCCTAATTTTCGATGTCCACTTTCCGAACATGCCGGAGGAACCAGTCGTTATCGTTTTATTAACAACTCTCGGCAAACGAACGGTGATCTATTTACGGGAAACGGGTACAATTTATGCGTTTGAACGCGCGATTAGGCAGGCCTGGCAGATAGCAGCCGCGTATATTATCGTCGGTCTATTTCGATCTGTTGCAATCGACCGATGCAAATGCAACCGCGACTTCGCAGTCACGATTATCACTCTATATGGGCAACGAGCCGATGAAAATGCTCGCAAACCACGAGGTTACCAGCTGAACTGCTCCGAGAAGATACGTGATCGATGCGTTTGCAATCTTGCCGCACGTAAGCCGCCGTTTTGCATTAACGATTCACCGTTCTCTGCAAACATTTGCCAGGAATCGTACGCGCTCGATTGTCCAGCAAAGTTTCGCAAGGTACGCGCAATTATATTTTTCCAACAGCCACGGAGTCGTCCACTTGCCGATGATAGTATCGAAATCGCGGTTGCTTTTGATCATCGACCAGGCACGATCCGATGCATTTTATTTAAAGTTCGCAAGAACGAATCGACACAGGCCGCTCTTGTGAGTCAAACTTCGCGACGGTACTCAAAGAAGTTTCGCAACTGGTCGCGGCCGGTAGATCAGCTTTCTGCTCAAGTACCACCTAAATTTATTCCACGAACGTTTCGTGCATTCGAAAGCCTTCGCATCGTCCGTGGAATATTATGTGATTTCCACGTTTTTGGCAAATAAACGCGTGCCTTCTGCCGACTCGGTGATAAGCGGGAATGAAAAAGAGAACGAAGGAAGGAAGAAAAGCCGAGACATAAAATATCCACGTCAATACACGATCTGACAATCGAGAAAAAGTTCGGCTCGTTAACAATTGAAGCGTGGCGTTGCTTCGTTGCCAGCAAATACACGCTACTCGCTATTCAAAGTTTCTTTCGAATTTCGCCGAAAAGGTGCACCGTTGTCCCCTTTCTCTTGTCCCGTTTGCAAAGCTGCAATCGTCGCGAAGAGCACGTTTTACCTCATAAGCAACCGTGACGAGCGTAGACAGTTACGCCAATTATTTCTACGATAACTCACGTTCGTCGAGTCAACAAATAAATCCCAAACACGCGATTGCTCTATACGAAAATTCATTTTTCCTTCCTGCACAGCTCGCTTCTTCGTTTCTCGTCCCAACGCTCGATTTCTCCACGACCGATCGCTTCAGCGCGTTTATGAGCGCGAATGGACGAGAAAATTTGAATTATCCTCGTGATCGGACTGCTCGAAAGTCCCCGTGGATATTGTTATCGATGTAAATGCGTGGAGCCGCTTGCTCGGAGAGCTTACGAAACGGGGGACTGGTTAACTCTCGAGGTTGTCTCTCGTTGTCGTGATAATCCAGCTTGACTTTTCCGCCGATCAAATCGAAGGCAATGAATTATCCATGGCTACCTAAAGCAAGGGATCTACTGCGCCGAATAATTGCGGTCGTTGTGACATTATGGCGGTAATGCCGTCGCGGAATGTACTTGCACGACTATTAGAGCAGACAATGATCGATACTCGATCGTTCGCGAGAAGTTCGTCTCGTTAATACCGTGCTGTCTCTGAGGAAAGGTTTCTTTCACCGTGTTTCTTTCCTCCATCCAATCCACGTGGAATTTTCTACGACTATTTCTTCGTCCCGACGTAATCGCTGTTCCCTCGAAGCGAAACGGTATATCGCCGATGCAAAATATCGCGTTTTCAACGCGAGTTCAGACAGAGGAGCCCGTCAGATGAGCGCTGTTCCACGCGATTAGGGTCGCGTCGCGAATCATCTCGACGAAGCGAAAGCAAAGGCCGCGACGCGCTGTCTTTTTTAATTGTTCCGTCCAATTACGATTCCTCCGGAGAGAATATCTGAAAAGTAGCGGCTCCGCAAGAAGAATGGGACAGTCGTGTCGATTTAACGAGCCACGGAAAACGGTACGGGTGACGCGGTGGATGGCGGCGATTTAATCGCGGTTCTTTCAACCGCGAAGTTCACTTGCTCGCGATCAACGAAGCTATTGTGCCCCGCCGAAAAAGGATCCTCGGTACCCGAAGACAGAGCGCCAAAGGAGTAACTCCTTCGACGCGAGGCTTCGCCGTCAGGTCCGATCGAGGGCGGTCGAAATTCGCGGGGAAAGACGTAAAATCGGATGGAAACAATGTTATAGCTGAGGGAAAAACGCGGCTCGGTCGGTTGGTAATCG